CGATCAGCTGTTTGTCGGCAGATCGGGGCAGTCTGGACGCGACGCGCCGACAAAGAAGCCTTTCTTGATCGGCACAGGTATGCCTCGTGAAACCAGCTGATCGGCAGAGCGGGGCAGCCATTTACATTTAAATGAAGCCGCGATTATTTTAATCGTGGCTTCATTTCCCTCTCCCGATCTGCCTAATCTACATGCCTCCGTCGAAGGAGGCATGTAGTCTAGACACACCCTAAGTCAGTTAATTTGAAGTAAAAACAACTCCACTTCCTTAAAGCAAGGTCAGGGTTTGGTTGTGACAGGAAAAGGTGAAGTACTGGGAATGGGACTGTTTTCCAGAACATGGAACACAATACTCAGAGGCTGAGTCTAGACTGGCAAGTTTTTCCGCAAAAGCAACTGCTTTTGCGGAAAAACTTGCCAGCTGGCTACACTGGCCACTTGAATTTCTGAAAGAACACTGACTTCCTATTGTCTGAAATCATTGCTTCTTGCAGAAATGCTATGCTGCTCCCGTTTGGGCAAAAGTCCCTTTTGCGCAAAGCTTTTGCGCAAAAGGGCCAGTGTAGACTGCTCAGATTTGTTTTGTGCAAAAAAGCCCCGATCGCAAAAATGGCGATTGGGGCTTTTTTTGTGAAAACCACGTCTAGATTGGCACAGACACTTTTCCGGAAAAACTGCTTTTGCGGAAAAGCGTCCGTGCCAATCTCGAAGCTCTTTTCCGAAAATGCTTTTAACGGAAAACTTTTCTGTTAAAAGCATTTGCCGAAAATCATGCCAGTCTAGACGTAGCCAGAGTGTCCACCAGGGCAGTAAGCGCAAGGGAGAACTACATTGCAGAGGGACCACTGGGTGCAGTTGCACCAGTAAGGCTAAGTCGAGATTACAGTCCTTTGTCGGAAAAAGCTATGCAAATTGTCTAGGCCGGGCCAAATGGTGGAAAAGCCTCCTCTTTCGGAGGAGCCCTTATTCCTCATAGACCGAGGTGTACAGGGCTCCCCAAAAGAGTGTGTTTGCTCTTCCACCAAAAAAAAGCAGAAGCAGAAGCAGAAGCAGAAGCAGAAGAGCAAATATGTTCTCTGGACGCATTGGAGTTTTTCCTCTGGTATCCCGGAAAAAACGCCAGTCTAGACGTACCCCAAGAGACTGACAAGCTGGAGACAGAGCTCTGCAACTGAGCAGGTAAGTGCCCGCAGTGTCCCAAGCCCTGCCTTCACTCTAGCACCCTACACCCATTGCCCTGAGCCCTACAACCCTCCTAGCCCTCTGCCCTCACTCTTGCACTCACAGCTATTTTTTATTCTAGCAAAAGACAGATACACTGCAAATACTGTTTACCAACAAGTTCTATATATTGTTTGAATCACTTTCCTTCTTTTATTAATACAAACTTCTCTTTTCCTTCACTTTTGAAAAATACAATTGTGATGGATAGAAGAAGTGTTGGCCAGTACTCGGTGACTAAAAGGTTAAACTCAGGTAGCTAAGGGGGATGCAAGGAGCCAGGAGAACCAATGGGATACAGTGCTGAAATTTGAATTGAGGTAATATACCTGCCTCTTCACATTTCCTCAACTCCCATCCCCTTTTACCCCTTCTCTACTTACGCTACATCAATGACATCTTTATGATCTGGACGCATGGCCAAGAAACACTGGAGACATTCCACAGAGATTTTAACAACTTACACCCCACCATCAACCTCAGCCTGGACCATTCTACACGAGAGATCCATTTCCTGGACACTACAGTACAAATCAGCAATGGAAAATTAGACACCACTCTCTACAGAAAACCCACTGACTCATACAGTTACCTACGTGCTTCCAGCTCCCATCCAGAACACACCCTACGATCCATCATCTATAGCCAAGCCCTTCGATAAAACTGCATCTGCTCTAATCCCACTGACAGACACCAGAAACTTCAGAATCTCTACCAAGCATTTATAAACCCCAACTACCCACCCAGAGAAATAAAAAAGTAAATTGAAAGAGCCAGACGAATACCTAGAAACCATCTACTTCAAGACAGACCCAAGAAAAGCAACAATAGAACACCACGTGTCATCACCTACAGCCCCCAACTTAAACCTGTCCAACTCATTATCAATAAACTACAGCCTATATTGGAACAGGATACCATACTCAAAGAGGCTCTGGGAGACAGACCCATAGTCTCCTATAGACAACTGCCTAACCTCAAGATGATTCTTACCAACAACCACAGGACATACCACACTAATACCAACCCTGGTACCTTCCCTTGCAACAAACCCCGTTGCCAGCTTTGTCCACATATTCACTCTGCTGATACCATTATTGGACCTAACCAAGTGAGTTATAAGATCAAGAACACATATTCCTGCGCATCCAGAAATATAATCTATGCTATCATGTGCCGAAAGTGTCCGTCTGCTATGTACATTGGACAAACATCTCAGACACTTCGCCAAAGGATTAATGCCCACAAAACAGATATCAGACAAGATCACAAAGAAAAAACAGTTTCTTGCCATTTTAACCAGAAAGGACACTCTCTCAATGACTTGACCACCTGCATTCTGCTACAAAGACCTTTTACATCTGCACTTGAAAGGGAATCCTCTGAACTGTCATTCATGTTAAAATTCGACACTTTAAGTTTGAATAAAGACTCTAATTATCTTACCCATTACAAAGACAGCTTCCCCAATTATCACCTCTAATATCATTAGCTCACAGACATTTACCTCCCTCCCATCCCCCTTCTGTTCTGAAATGTGATTTGTCCTTTTCATATGTGTTCATTTTTTAAATTGTATCCTTTGGTATATATGGTTGTGACAATTTTCTTCCAGTATTTGATCTGAGGAAGTGGGTCTGGCCCATGAAAGCTCATCATCTAATAAACCATCTTGTTAGTCTTTAAAGTGCTACATAGTGCTGTTTTTTGTTTCTTCTCTTTGTGTGAATTCTAAGTTAGGAGCTGGAGGAAGCAAGATGAAGTAGTATTATCATGGCTACCAGGAATATTGGGCATGGGAATGGACTGGGCCTTGGAGTATTGATCAGTATGGATCATAAGTAGATAAAGAAATGTATATTTCATCACAATCAGGGTATTTTTCTTTGTTTTGTTGTTTGGTAAAACTTATCTGTGCCTTCCCTCCCCCATTAACCATAGTTAAACTGTAGCCCAAAGAGACAGTGTTTCTTTGTGTTTTAATCTGCTCTTTTCTCAGGTGATCTGTAACACCTAACAACCAAGTATGCTTTGTCAAGTACATCTTTTGGTTTTGTTAATAAAATCACCTTTTTTAAGGTGATGATTTGATTCTTGTGTCCTAGAAAGTAACTGGAGGTCTGTGTGTGTGCCTGCCTAGACTGACAGGTCAGCTATTGAGATTGAAGTTTGTTTCCTGTGGGTTATTTTTTTCTTTTTTTCAAGCTCTCTTGTGGTTCTTATGTTTTTATGGCTACCCCATGGGAAGACGTTCAAGTGTTTCTTCCTGGTTTTCAAGGTTTTATTTCACTTGATGGTGGCAGCCCATCTCCCAAGGCCAGTGAATCTGTGACTCTGGGGAGTTTTGTAAGCTGAGCCTATAGAGGCAAGGTATTTTTAAGGTCTCTTGTGAACCCCCACCATCTGCATTCTGAGTGCCAGAGTGGGGAACAGCCCTGACAACAATAATTTAACTAAAGCATGTACACTTTCCTTTTATTTTCTACACAAACTCAGAAACCCATGACTTCACTTAAATTCCTGAGCAAATGCCAGGTAGATCTGCTGATTTATTAATAATGTACTCAGTGTGCACATATGTACGTCTATGAAATACCAGCTATTTTAAGAATGTACTTATTTAAACAGAAGATATGTTCCCTGGTGTGCTGAATGCAATTCAAATAATTTCTATCCAAAGTAGAACCACATACCCATGACATAAATTAGGGATCTGAACAGGTAACTGGTTACCCATGAGCATCCTCACCATGCGGGTTGGGAGCCAGCAACCCCCAAATCCCAGGCCCCATGCAAGGCTGCCAACTCCCAGCCTGCACTGACTGGGAGCTGGAAGCCACCCCCAAACTCCAGGGCTGCACTTCTGGCCCTGCATGTGCTGAGAGCCAGCAGCCCTGAATGAAGCTGGCAGCACCTGGGCTGGAGCAGCCTCTGCCCACAGCATAGGTGCCACTCCAGCCTAGCCATAATGGGTGGAGTGGCCCCCTGCCCTCTCTCATTTAATCAGTTAACCAGTTAAACTTCACATTTAACTGGTTAGCTAATTAAACAGGATTTTACATCCCTAACATAAATGAGGCTGTCACGTTACTGGATCTTGAGGGAAGCAGCCAGATCACTGATGCACCCATACGTGGGGGTGTTGGCCCCAAGAATGGTATAGAAGGGGGCCATGTGAGGTATTGAATAGAAGCTTACTGTCTGCTGATCCTGTGTACGCTATTTATGTGAGTGTATAATGTCTGTGTGAGTAGGTAGGAATCTGTAATCTGTGTGGAAACTGAATATTTCTCTGAATGTGGTTGAGCATTGGGCAGAGCCTGACCTATGGACATGCTAATTAGTGAGGCCCTATGGGACAATCGCACTTGATGGGCCAAGGACACACCTAAAGCATGAGGGCGGAGGCCTAAGAGCTGCAGCAGAGAGAGGCTGACGGCCAGGTGACCAGCTGCGGCCAAGGAGAGGCCAGGAAGGATGTATAAAGAGGCCATGTGGGGGCCTCCATTTTGTTCTGAGCTCAGCACTTCATCCCAGAGGCAGCATTGCAAGGATCAAAGAGCCCAGAAGACCTGTGAACCCATCCTGATGCTAGGATGTGCAACAAGAACTTTTAAACCAGCAGCTGTAACATCTCTGCTAGAGCCTGCATCGAGGACTGGGAGATTCGGTGCATGTAACGTACTGTACTTTAATAACCTTACTCTCAGGCTTTTCTTTATTGTAATAATAAACCTTTAGTTGTTAGATGCTAAAGGATTGGCCCAGCGTGATTTGTGGGTAAGGTCCAAAGGGTAAATTGACCAGGGATCTGTGGCTGGTTTCTTGGAACCGGACAGAACTTGTTCGGGGTAGGTGGGATTGGGTGCTAGGACCTCCCACCTGTGTATGAGGCCCGGGGCCATCTGAGGCACGGATATTGCTGGGGTGTCGGAGGGGTTTTGCTTGGGAGGCTTCAGGCAGGCTGCTGGAGCGCTCTGTGGGACTGGTTTGTGGCCTGTTTGGAGAGGTCACCAGTCTGGGGACTGTAAGGAGCCCCGAAGTTGAGCAATTCGCCCTGAGCGGATGCCCTCAGCTGTGCCCAGACACGGCCCGGTCCGTCACAGAGGCCAAGTGATTAAATAATTAAAGCCATGGCCCCCTGTATCCACTAACAGAGGATACCACACTGTGATTGCCTGAATAAGTGACTTGTGTCTAGATTCAGGTTTTAAAGTCTGGTCTGAGAGCCCAAGAAAGAAGCATGGTATGCACATATGTTTAAGAGCCAGGGATTTCTAAATTCTAATCCTGACTCTCAAATTGGGATGTTGAATTTCTGTTTTACTATTAAAAATCAAACTTCTCCCTCCCTCTTTTTTAAAAAATCTCTTCCCACAACCAAACAGATTGTACAGGATCCTAATTGTGGATTAAAGGAGGTTCTTTATGTGAAGATAGAAACCTTTGTACTAATTACCTTAGGGCTATCCCAAGGTTCAAAAAATAAATCTTCTGATATCCTAATTTATGTAAGATATGAATAAATATAATGCAGCATCAGGTGCTAGCAGTGCAGAACTCTGATTTAAGCAGCCTGACATCAGTTTTATGTGGTAATGCAATGAAGAGAAAGAAAGAAGGATTCACTTTACTAGCACACAGTAAGTCATCCAGCAGGTGAAAGGATATTACCTCAATGCTTGAGTTCCAGTTCAAATCTCTGTAAAAGCTTGAGAAGTCTAAAATCTTTAATGAAATCAGTAGAAAAGGATGGGATGAGACTCATGAAATTGCAGTTAATTGAAGTCTGCTTCCTAAAAATTTCCCTGTGGAGTGAATCTGTCACCTTTCCACAAGCACCACATTCCCTAGAAATTAATGTAGTGAGTAAAGGAACTACATAGCAACATTTCCATTTGTATTCAGTGCAATGACATTACTCCAGAGAGAATTATTTTGGTATTTTTATTTCAAAATACCTGTCAACAAGTATGTCTGTAACAATATATGCATGCATAAAAATTCCCCCAGGAGAAGAGAGTAAAAGAAACCCCTACAACAACCCTTTTCTCTGTCCCTTCTACCCTCCAGAGCTCAGTCACGGGGTGTCACCTAAGCCCAGACTCCTGCACCAGAGCCCACTCATGGACAGACTCCCAACTGAGATATCCGCACACCTATCCCCAAAAAAACAGGGATCCAGAGGGGAAACAGCCTGATGCTGGGTCCTGAACTTATATGGAATTTCCTACATGCTGGCTCCTTCCTTCAGGGCACATAGGGAACGGCAGCTGTCAAAAATCCTTTGGCTAACCTCCCTTATCCCCCCCAGCACGATCTTCTATTTGCGACCTGGGCAGAAAAAGGGGAGAAAAAGGAAATTCTATACACACAATATCAATTTCTTCACAAATTCTGCATTGTGGAATGGCACCATATTCCCCCAGGAGTATGAGAAGTACCTGCAAAAGCCAGCTTGAGTGCCTTGAAGATGCTAGATTTCTGTTGGGAGCTTCCATAAAGAGAGGGCAGGACAATCTTCTCAGATGTCGACTGAAGAAATAGATAAGCGCTTCCAATCCAGAGCTCAGAGCTGCCTGCCATCTTCAGCACCTGAAATGCCAGATATGTGAGCACAGTCTGTTTTCAAGGCAGCCATAACACACAGAAAGCACAGCAAACTTTGCAACAAGCACGTCAGAGTTTGAGGTGGTTTTAGTTCGAACTAGGGAATTTAATGTAGGCATTCAAAGTTGCAAATGAAGCTCGGGATTTAAATATCCCGGTCTTTATTTGCATCTTCCCGTCCGGGCGCCATTTTTAAATCCCCTTAGTCTGAACTAACTGCCTGCGGCTACACACGGCAGTCAAACGTTAATTCGAACTAAGTCCTTAGTTCGAATTAACTGTTACTCCTCGTGGAATGAGGTGTAACGGTGAATTCAAACTAAGGACTTAGTTCAAATTTGACTGCCGCGGACAGCTAGTTCGATCTAGTGGGATTTAAAAATGGCGCCTGGATGGAAAGATACAAATAAAGCCCGGGATATTTAAATAGAAATAGATAAGCGCTTCCAATTCAGAGCTCAGAGCTGCCTGCCATCTACAGCACCTAAAATGCCAGATACTAGGGGGCTAGTATAGACATACCCTTTGAAAACTTGATATATGAGATGAGGACCCCACACATGCAGGAGGGGGCTTGGGTATCCTTTGGGTCTTTGCACGAACAGAGACTTGGTCTGGGAAGAGAGGCTGAGCTGCCTTAGTGCCTTTCCCTCTCCCTTCCCCCCGCAAGTGCGCCATGGACTGAACCCACATGGGACCCCACCCCCAGCCTCCCGAAGTCGCCTATCTGCTCACCCCTGCCTCATGCTGCACCCAGCCTCCCTGTCTACACTGGCCCTCTTGCACAAGTATTCTTGCGCAAGAGGGCTTTTTCCCGAGCGGGAGCATGAAGGTATTTGCGCAAGAAGCACTGATTTTGTACATTACAAAGTCAGTGCTCTTGTACCAATTCAAGCGGCCAGTGTAGACAGCTGGCAAGTTTTTGCGCAAAAGTGGCCTCTTTTGCACAAAATCTTGCCAGTCTATATGCACCCTAACAATGATGAGATTGTTAATGACAAAGCAAATGTAACCTTTAAAGGATTTATAATTATTATTTCTTAAAGCAAAAGCAGATAGAGAACTTTGTGTAACAACAAAAGAGTTATTCCAAACCCAACTCCAAAGTCCCACTGATGGAAAGATTTCTAGTTCAGAGAAATCCTGAGATCAAAGGTGAGAACTTGCTAAGACTTTACCAACCAGGCCTCTAATGATCAAATCTAAATAGCACAAGAGGTGGTTATGTTCAGCTCCTTTCTGCACAACAAAAATTTCCAAGTGTAAAATTCTGGCTCCATTGAAGGCACTGGGCAGAATGATCATTGACCTCCTCGGAACCAAGATTTCACTTCAAGGCTTTATATAATTCTAAGAGGAGGATGACACCTCACCACAAGAAACCTTCATCTATGGTAGAGAGTATGTTGAGCTCAAGCTGGTGGAACCAGCCTCAGTGAACACTGTATACTGGGACCTGAACACAAACATTGCCAGGCTTGGCTAATCCACCAAGTCAGCCAATTTGGAGAGCCTAGTCAGTTTGGAGTCTTTGCCAAAGGATAAATTGAACTAAGTTCTGTTTCAGCTTCCCTGAGCTACTGGAATTGGAGGATGTTAGAAATTTGCTGCTTTCCAGTTTCTGAATCCCCTGCTCCTTTATAATGAAAGTTTCAGGCTACATTTACACTATCGTTCGGATTGATGCTCTGAGATCGATCGACTGGCGGTTCATTTAGTGGATCAAGTTAAGACCTAAGCTCCCTGTAAGCTGCACGGCTGTGGGACAGTGCAGAGATTTTTGCTAAAACATCTACTGATTAGTCTAGAGGTGCATATGTGTGTGTGTACAGGATGGAAATATCAGAATTGCCTGAGTAATTTAAGAGCACAAATCCCAATTGCTCATGTTCCTATATCACTTAAGTGCTGTCAAAAATGCCACCTATAGTAGTTAAATATCAGTCAATTGAATAGTCTATTAATCTCATGAATTCTTGTCGGTTACACAACTATTCTATAGTCCCCAGGGGTGGGGCTGGCAGCCAGTGCACTCTGGTCCTTCTCCCGAGCAGCCCCCTGCCACTCTTGCAATGCTGCCTCTGTATCATAAGCAGCAGTGCGGGGTGCTTGTCTGTGAGGGAGCCAATTTAAAAACCAGCTCCCCTTGCAGCCTGGCTGTCTGTTGCCCCACAGCACTGCCTCTGATGCAGAGGACAGCAGCATGGGGTGGCAGTAGCCCCTGTCAGAGGGAAGATGAGGGGATCTGAGCTCCCAGACTCAGCATGAGCCAGGCTGCTGGCCAGCCTGCTAAAAAATTGCCTGGTTGGGGGCCGGAAAGGAGAATGTGTGAAGTATATAGTATTAACCTATAAGCTTTTGCTTATCAGTTAATTGGTTAATTGACTATGTTATTACTTCCCTAACCCATAGCGGAGCAAAAGGAGGCGATGAGTCTAAGCTGCAAAGTTTAGAGCTGCTTTTGGATGCTCCCAAATGTTCGGTGGGTGTTAGTTCAGGTGCATGTCTGTGTCCCAGTATCTCAGAGGGAGAATAAAAGAGACAGAGACAGAGATTCAAGTACTTTGCTTTAGTCAGTTTCAATAGAAATCCCTCCCAGTACTATAACACAAAATTTTGACCTGAACTTTGTTACACTGTTTCACAATAGTAAATGATGCATCAAACTGTATTTATTATTATTGTTATTAATTATTTTTATTTTATTAGCTATACTCTAGGAGCATCTAGGAGCCCTAGTTATGGGCCAGGCCCATTGTGCTGGGTACTATACGACACAGAACAAAAAGATGGCCCTCAATTAAAATGTAAACAGATTCATTTCCTCACCTTTGCTCTGATAGGGAGGTCATTTACTTGTGAGTAATTTTCCCTCTATGCAGTATAATATTCCCTGTAGCGGGGTGCTCTGGCAATAACTTTTGCACAATGTAATACTCCTAATGTTTCATAATCCCAGCACATGGCATGGTATTCCAAAAGCTGATATGAACTGTAAATGGTATTTCACGTGGTAGGAGTTCCTCCAATTACAATATTTTGAATCATGTGCTGTTGTTAATACACAGTTCGTGAAAGGAAAGGTAGCCATTATAACAGGTCCAGCAAACCTGTTAGGATCAGCAATGCAGTGCAGAAAGGCTTATTAAAATCAGCAGGGTTTGGCTTAATAATGTGTGAAAAATACAGTTTGAAAATAAGGCAGAGATCACACATGTTGAATTTAAAAATCTCTATGGATTCAGTGGCCCATGTGAAATGAGTTTTAGGAGTTTCAGCTCAGTTCCTAGTAAACAAATCCGTCTGAGGAAGCCACCCACATTAACCAGGTTCTGAGGCTGCTTGGAGAAGTTTGCATTGGATTTCCTCTTTCAGTGCCAGTTTAGTAGAATGGCAGATGTGGGACTGTTAATTTGGCCCATTTTCACCAGCATTAATTTTCCATGATTGTAAAAGTCAGTTGGGTCAATATCACAGATGTGCAATTCCTGCCTGTTGCACTTAAAAATCTGTGGGCCAAACTCCCTATGGGTGCAAATAAGTCTCACTCAATTCAACATTTCACCCACTTACACCAGCAGCAATTTTGGCCCTATATTTTAAAAACAATAGAAAAACCTAAGCCCCCGTGTCAGACTGACAGAACACAAAATATTTGTTCCAGAAGTTGAAAATCTCTTTCCCCATGCCCCACCCCCACCCCAGACCAAAAAGTTAGCCTTAGGGTGAGTGACCCTGGAAAAAAGCTTGCTTTGATTTGGTTTTATTTTGTAATTTATGAAGGAGATTGGACTAGTTTAAATTTTAATATCTTTGTAAAAACGAATCGCTCATTTGCTTTGGGTCTCATGTGACAAGCTTGTGGATGATGGAATTTGTGGGGCAAAACGGAAAGCTTCCCTGAAGCAAGAACTTTCTTGGCAGCAAGCACAGCTGATTGATCAGAGCAGAACCACATTAAATGTCATGCCCACCAAAAACCACCCTCTTATAACTCTCATTAATTTACCTTGTCCAGACACCCCCTTCTCACGCTTTCAGATGCCTTTCACTTCCGCCTCTTTGCATAGCAGGAGGGAGAGTCACTAAAAACTCCTCCTGGTCATGTGGCTGTAATGACAGAGGTATCCTGAAAGGCAGCTGAAGGCAAGAAACCAGACCCCCAGTTTAGCTGTGCTGTAATCCTAACCAGGAGTAGCAAGGATTTTAAGGAATTTAGGACAGAGACGGGTTAAATCTTGCATGACAGTATGTTACTAAGGGTCAGATTAAAGCTGTATGTCTCAGAAAGGATATTTTCCTGCATACGGGGATTGTACTTCCCCTTCAGGTTTAGGAATCAATATTATTGGCCAGAGCACTTGTCAGTCCTATGTGCCTGGGATAGCAATAGGAGGCCCGTAACTGAGTGCTAAAGAATTTGTCTGCAGCTATCAGATGACTGGATAGACCAATCAAGTGGGTTTAGGGTTGTCAATTTTCTCTTTGCTCTAAAGGGCACTCCTATGTGAAATGGCAGAGTACAGAACTGTGCACCAATGTATTATCATTTATTATGTTTCTGATTTAAAAATATATATTATATTGTATATATAACATATGAATAAACATGAGTTGGTAGATACAGATACGCTCCCTCTCAGGAGTGTCCTCTTTTTTTGAAAATTCAAATATGGTAACCCATTAGGTAACACACAAATCACACAAGTAACTGTAGAAAAGTTCAGGGGGTAGCCGAGTTTGTCTGTTACAGAAAAAAAACAACCAATGGTCTGGTAGCACTTGATAGACCAGTGGTCCCCAACCATTTGGGGTTGCCGGGCACCAGGGGGCGTGGCCGTTCGCCCGCCGGGCGCCCGGAGGGGGGAGGGTGGCCCCCCCCATAGCCGCATTCCGGGGCCGGCGCTCTCCCCTCAAGCGCCGCGCGCCCGGGGCCAGCGCTCTCGAAGTGCTGCGCACCTCCCCCAAGCGCCGCCTGCCGCGGGCACGGCCCACCACGCGCGCC